GACAGACAGAGAGACAGAGAGACAGAGAGACAGAGACAGAGACAGAGAGGCAGAGAGAGACAGACAGAGACAGACAGAGACAGACAGAGAGACAGAGAGACAGAGAGACAGAGAGAGACAGAGACACATGGAGAGAGACAGAGATAGAGGGAGAGACAGAGACATCATGACACTGAAAGTGCCACCTCTACCTTCCATGAATATACCAGAAAAGTTAAAGTATTCACACATGGATGGGGCTCTGACCTCGTCACAGGCTGCACAGCGTGGCTTCAGGCACTCAGCATGGTGCCTACCACAGTAGATCTTCCCATCTTGGTAAAAGTAGATCAAGTCAACCAAAAGCTCATTGCAGACGGTGCATATAAAGCAGGGTGGATGCCAGCAGATACCATGGCCAGCACGTGATGCAAACACAGCAATGTCCCCACCTTTAATCTGCCCTCCGCACTGTGAGGCAAACAGAAACAACACAACATCAGCTGTATCTCTCACAGCTATAAAATAATGACACCCAACAGCTACTAGAGTGTTATATGCATACTAGTTAGTATGTGTATGTGTGTCCATCCCTTGTATTGGGTCCCCTAATCCTTCCCTCCCCAGCTTTACATAGCTGGTAGGGCAGATTTATCTTTTTCTTCCCAGGATTTCCCACCTAGGGCCTAAGTAAGACAACTTAAGTAACAGAGAATGAGAAACATAAAGTTGTGAGATAGATTCTCAGTATGGTAGCATATGGGGAACCTGAAGGCACCAAGTCAAACTTATAGAGTATGAAAATAAAAGGCCCAACCATCTCCTATATATACAAAAGTTCATGGAGGGGCATAGACAGCCACTTTAACACTGGCAGGAAAGGCTACAGAGAGAGGGCTTGGCTGGGGTGGGGACTTGCACTACCGAATGGGAGAGGACTGGGCACATAAAATCCACTCACTCTTTAACTTTTGTTTTATGTGCCTTGGTGTGAAGGTGTCCGATCCCCTGAGACTGGAGTTACAGACAGTTATGAGCTGTCATGTGGGTGCTGGGAATTGAACCTGGGCCCTCTGGAAGAATAGCCAGTGTTCTTAACCGCTGAGCCATCTCTCCTGCCTCCAAACCCACTCACTCTTAAACAGCTTCTTCCTCTTCCCTCTGCCTTTCAGGCATACATATATATATATATTGTGGTAGATATTGCTATCTACCACATCTCTTCATAAAGTCTTGATTGAAAGGTGCTACTTTTTAAGCCCAGGATACACAGGCAGAAATCACAGATGACTCATCCTTACAGCTGGGGTCTGAGGGCTCATAAAGATGCTCTCTTTTCACCATGGTGTTGGCCATGAGGTCATGACCTGTGTCAAGCAGAATGGCCCACATAGGTGGATGAGCTCCACAGATAATGACTGAGGAGGTAAAAGGTGCCTCCAAACATTCCCCCAGTGTGGATTTTGTATGAATTAATATGATCCACAGAATATGGGCACAGACTTGAAGAATGGTTTCTGTTGGCTTGTGTGTGTGATAACACAATATAGAAGGCAACAACCCTACCTTCCATGGTTATGAAAGAACACACAAAATCATATTTAATCCCCTCACCAATGGTTCACAAGGTTTGTTATAGAAGGCCTTTCTGCTTCAACACTCCTGACACTATCCTGCACAGGGGTAAACCCAGCTTTTCTTCCTCTTTAAGTAAGCCCTATTCATGAGGAGGCTGATCTGAGAGTGGGTCAGCAATGAATTGAGCCCAGTCAACTTCATACAATAAGCACCAGTCACTTACATCTCAGGAGTTAATCGCAAGGATTCTTTTAAAGAATAATGACCCACTGCCGCCTCTTTGGTCCACTAATTTTGCTACCTGTCTACTAGATTTTGTCAGTTGTTCCTGTGAAATCTCAAAATGGGGTTCTAAAACTGGGCATTGGTGGCGCATGCCTTTAATCCCAGCACTCGGGAGGCAGAGGCAGGCAGATCTCTGTGAGTTTGAGGCCAGCCTGGTCTTCAGAGCGAGTTTCAGGATAGGCTCCAAAGCCACACAGAGAAACCCTGTCTCGAAAAACAAAAACAAAAACAAAAAAAAAACAAAAAATGGGGTTCTAAAAACTACCTGCCCCTCTCAACTAGTCTCCAGCTTTCTCTTCCCAACCCAGCTGGCCCGTCATCCAGAGACTGAGTTAGATGGAGCTTCACGAAACCTGGGAAGATTTAGAGAAGGGTAAGGCATGGCGGTCTTCCCTGGAAAGCAGGAATGGGGTGAGGTTGGCCCAGGCAAGTGATATACCTGTCCTGTTTTAGCATGTTTCTCTACCACACCCTAAGCATGCTACAGCAGAGCAGGCAAAAGGTAACTAGATCTTTCAACTCAATGAGGTCCCAAAGACATGACATGGGGTCTCTGCTTAGACTTTGAAAAGGAACCCTCAAACTCAGAATAAATTTAGGCATCATACCTCATACCATCCTTTAAAGGTCACCCATGTTGGGATGATCCTGGATGAGACTGACTCACGTGGTCCAGAGAACTCTATTTTCATCCTTTCAAAGGATGAAGCCATGACCCTGTCTGGTCCTTCCAATTGTTTATATGACTCTCCATGAACTCTGCCACCATCTGCACATCCTAGCCCTTTACTCCTCCTGATCCAGCCATAGGCCACTGTCTCTTGTCCACAGGAGCCACCCTCTTTCCTGCCTTAAGACCTCCATGCTAACTGTTTCTCACGCTCCAGATCTGCATGCCTCTTTTTCTGTGTATCTCCGCATGCCTTTGCTGCAGATGCCACCTTCTTAGTGGGGTCTTCTTTGCCCCTTAAGACTGCAGCCATCACACCTTCCTTGTCCTTCCTAGCCCTCTCTGCTACAGTTTTTCTGTTTTACTCATTTGATTTATTGTATGACTTCCCCTGGTGAGAAAGACCACACTCCCATGTCTTTTGTTCACTGCTGTTATCTTTGAGGCCTAAAAGAGGGCTGAGCACCTAACATGTATCCAATAAAATAGTTGGAGAATGAACTTCTCCCTGGACCCAATCCATCCTTACCTGCTCACAAATGGCTCCTGTCATGGTAACAGGGAAGGGCCTGACATTCCCTCGGCCCAAGTTCTCACGTTTCCTCTGGTTGCTGAACAGCTTCAGCTCCCTCTTCTCTTCCTCATCCAGGGAGTTGCAATATCGAACCTGAACACACAGAGGACAGCATGGAGGAGGTGTCATGGCTCTAGGGGAAGTACTGAATCCCCACTCAGGGCTCTCAGCTTGGAGCCACTTAAAGTGAGAGCCAGCACTAAGATGGGTGATACGCAAAAAGGCGATTGCTACAGGCTGTGAACACCGGAGTCCATGCCTCAGGAGGGAGACATGCTCTGGAAGCGCTCCTCACCCTTTGTACTGTTCCCACACTCAGATCAAAGTCACTAAGAGTGGCTCAGAGCTGGCGATGTCCTGGAACAGTCTCCTTATAAACTATAGGGAGCTGAAAGTTTCATGTTATCCGTGTCTGTGCGAATGAGCCCTGCACCAAAGAATGGTCCGGATCTGGTTGTCAGCATGCACACATCATCTGTCCTCCATACTGCTTTGGGAAGTGAGAATAGGAGGAACACTTGTCTGGCTCCTGCTAATATGACAATATGAGAAAGAGACTTCCTTAAAAAAAAAAAAAAAAAAAAAAAAAAAAAAAAAAAAAAAAAAAAAGGGCCAAAAAAAAAAAGAATTAAGGGAGGGACAGTAAAGGCATCTGCATCCAGGATCTGCCACTCTGTTCCATTGTTTCTGCTCTTTGGTGATTGTGCCATGATCCTGAACTATGATTTATTAATGCTAGTTTTAAATATGACTCATTTTAAGAAACTTGGATGCATTTATTTAAAAGGAAAACAGAATAAAACCATACTGCTAGATCCCAGCTGACCACTGCATCTTCTGGAGATACTAAAATTGATGAGCTTACTGAAAATGCGAAACAGAACGGGCAGAACTGATATTGGGATACCTCCCAGGACCAGGCTGAGACTTCCTCCTTATCCCATCACTGCATCACAAAGACGAAGTGTAATTTAAAAGGAACTAAGCTCTCATTACAGATTCAATTTCATTTATTGCGATGCTTACAGCCCACCCCAAGCCATACTTATACCCTCCTTTGGGAAATGTGGTTCCATGCATCTCAAGATTTCTTCTGTAACAATTCAGATATCAGAAATGTTGACTGCATTGCTCAGACAATTTTTCATAAAGAAAACAAGAAGAAAGGCTTTCAACTAGGACTGTTGTGTGTTAATTTGAAAGTCGGAGCAACCATGTCTGTTCAAATTGTTCTATCTAAGTGAAAAGAGAATCGTAAGGTTTCAGGCATTATGCCTGCCCGTTAGCTGGCAGAATGCACTCAGGCAGTACTCTGGTCAGCCCAGGGTTCCATGAATGCTACTGCATTCAGGTGCAAAGGACCCCTTTAAAAGACAGATCCCGGCCCACTTTCACTCTCTTTTGCTCTCTTCTCTCCTCTTGCTCTACTCTTACCCCTTCCTCTTACCCTCTTTGTCTCTCTCTCTCTGTGCTCTCTTCTCTTTCCCCCCCTCTCTCCCCCCTCTCCCTTCATCTCTCTCTTCTCCCCCTCACTCTCTCCCTTTAATAAACTCCATGGTTAATGTATCTCCTGGTTCGCGTTCGTGTTCCATCTCGAGACTTCCTAACTTAAACAAAAGAACAAGAATGGTCAAGTATTTGCTTTAGAGTCAACCTCTGCCTTCAAAAGAGGCCATGTCACCATATTAAATGAAGGAATCTTGTCCACTGGCTTTCACGTATCACATCCTACCAACGTGGAGTCATAATCCAAATGGTGTCTATTTAATGAAAGCACAGTTAACCATAAACAGAATGAACCACTACAAGCATAGGGCAGATCACTTCCCTCCCTCAAGTGATAGTTTAAAAAAAAAGTCTTCAGGAGAATGTTCCAGAAACCCAACAACCCAGAAAACATGGTTGCACTGATGACATTTTATGGGCATGCTTTTAAAAACAGGCACACCCCTCCTGCTTGTAAAAACTTGCATTTTCACCTCCAGATTAGTTATCCAGGCATCCGGTTACAATGCTTGCTTTCATCTTTAAAGGAGTCAACTTTTGTATTTGTTTTATGAACTCTGAAACAAGCAGTAGGAGAGAGAAGAGCAGCTTTCTAGGGAGTTGCTTCAGCTTTTGAGACGTCGTCTCACTTATTCAGAGTCATATATTTAGTTTTGTAATGCTGAGGATTAAGCCCAGAGCTTTGCACATGCTAGACAAAGGCTGGACCGTGATTGGCATTCTCAGTTTCTCAGCATTAGCAGCTCAAATTGTTTCCGTTTGGGCCAGCAAGACGGCTCAGGAGGCAAAGGTGCTTGCTACAAAACATGATGTTCTGAGCTTGAGTTTGATCCTCAGAACTCACATGAGAAAACCAATTCCCATAAGTTGTCCTCTGACCTTCACATATATGCTGTGGTATGTGACTGTTTTACACACACACACACACACACACACACACACACACACACACACACACTAAAAATATAAAGAAAAAATTATTCCCTTTTATAAAAATATGTTGTCTGAGACTCAGCGTATGTATGTGATGAGTTGGTACAAGCTAGTGTCCACCTCTCTACAGGGGTCATTTTTTTTCTTTCAATTTAAAAATTATGCTTTTGTTTTAAATAGAGAGCTAAATAGCCCAAGTCTTCGGGAATCTTGATTTTGAAACCAGATACCTACAAATTAATTTCCAGCTTAGAAACCCAATTTCCTCCCACACAATCTTTCAAAAGCTTGCTTACAGATTTCTTCCTCAGGATCAATGTGATTTCAATAATAAGTAACGCTGGCCAGGCACGGTGGCTCATCTGTAACCCAGCCCTCGGGAAGAGGAGATCTGACAGTTCACTGAACTGCTGAGACAGTTCCAAGTTATCCTGGCTAAAGTGAAAGCCAGCCTTCAAAATTCAAACTCAGAATCAACTAAGTAAGTGTTTGCTTCCAGAGTTGTTTCTGGAATTAGAAAAAAAGGAATGTCCACCTCCATACCACTTTCAAATACAGATGGCTGACTCTAACAAGGTGGACTCTGGCTTGACAAACGTCCTGGTGAGAGCTGCCAATCTAGAGCGGGGACTTTGGCTGCTCTCAACATGGAGAACCTGCACACTCATTTCTTAAGAAACAATCCTGAAAGTCTGAGAGAATCACAGTGTTTCTTCCGGGCATGAGGCGGTCCTTAGTCATCTTCTCAATTCCCACAAGCAACTGGCAGGACACATTCGAGTCAAAACACACTGGCCCGGGCTCTCAAACAGCACTCCCTGCTTTCTGTACTACTCAGTCATACATACTAGGCTTGGAGTCTAACCCAGTCCAGGGTGAGACTGGTTTTCTTTGAGGGGGGTGGGGTGGGGAATGTTCCCCAAAAATATCAGCCAGTTTCTTTAGATTCTAATTAATGAAGCTAAAATTTAATATCAATTGCCAGAAGGGTTTTTTTTTTTTTATGAGGGGGAGGCGCAGCAGTCTTACGGACCATAACGATTAGGAAAAGTGGCGACCCACCAAAAGCCCCCAACACCTTACCTCATTGTCATGGGGCGGCAGCTGGTGCAATAGCAGCTTGATGCGCAATTTCTCTCCAGGACTGTTGACATAAGGGACTTTCTCTTCTGGGAGGCAGCTATAGTACTGGTGCACCTGAGGGACAGAACACAGAACACTTGTCCGTCACTCACCGCCTGTGCCATCCCGCCTCGCCACCCTGAGGAAGGTTCGCAGCGGGAAGCCAGCTGCTTCCATGCTCACACACCCCTTAGGACAGTCACACACAGAAGAGTACCCTAAAAGATAGAGCCAAGTGAACTGCCCCTCACTTGAGGGCTATCCCTCTCTGGAAGGGGAAAAGGAAAGCCAAAGACATTCCTTATCAAAGGAGAATTCGGCAAATGTGCAGGTGAAGCCAGAGGGTAAGGCTTTCCCGGCCGACTCCCCGAAGTGGCGCTTTACCATTTTCTGTGCCGCTGTCCCATGGGAGGCACCTCTCTAGCCAAGGGATGTGTCAGTGCCTGCCTAAATACTGCTCTCAAACCTTTCTCTGGCACTCTGGAGGTTCCTGGGTGTCTCAGCCTCCACCTACGTCAAAAGCCCTCCAGGTCTTGAGCCATTTACAATGCAGGCAGCACTGACTTACACGGGAAAGAGACTCAGTGCCGGCTGCAGAACGTGTAACTCAATAGCAGCAACAGCGCAAGGATCTGCGTATCTCCTGCAATGCTGTTCTTTATAACTGATGCGTTCCTGCAGTTTCTAAGGTTCACTCGTTTTGTTTTTTTTTTTAAACACTGGGGAAAGTACCAAACTTCCAATTTTGCCCAAGAAAAGAAGGCAGACATTCTACTGAGGCTGTGGACATCTAGGACATAGGAGGAGGAACATAACAGGCCCAGTGTAAGTGGTGTTTTTTTTTTTTTTTTGCTCCTGACAGCAGTAAGTTTCTACTTTGTGTAT